AGAACGCGTGAAATAATTTAACGGCAGAAAACTGTTCGGGGCTCCGGGGTCTGCGGTGCAATGGAAAATGAAACACGTTGGAGGAGATGGAGCCTGGGTTTTTTTGCAGGAGAGGGTTGAACTCGCTTCCTTCTGGCACAGCCCCTGAGAAAGGGGGGGGGGGGGAGGATTTGCACCCCAAAGCCAAACGGCAGAGGTGGAGCTGGCAAAACCTGTCCCAGGACATGGCGGCGCACGTGGTGGGGGTTTGCAGCATCATCCAGGGGAGAGACAGGCTTGCAGTTGGCCAAGGTGATCATCCCAGGTCACAGGGACGGTGTGGGGCAATCACCATGCTCTGGGATGGGCATTTTGCAAAGGAACCCACCCAAACAGGGTGTCCCCGCCCCGCAGTGGGAGACTGAGCACAGTTGGTGATGGAGCCCACCACCGAAAGCCATCCCGAGGGATGAGCTGCCCTGCTGGAGCATCCCTGCCCGGGGACATCGCGGTCCCCGGGACTCAGGCGTGCGAGCGGCTGGGATTTTAAATGCTGGTTAGGTCTGGATCACAGCTGCACGGAGGTCGTTTATCGCTCGCTAATGGAGGTCGTAAGTCAAAGCCAAAGCCTCGGTGGAAATCTAGTGAAAATTACCTCTTTACAGCACTCGGCAGCTGCTGTGCGGGAGGCTGGGGGCCCTGCCAGCATGGGGCCCCCCCTCGGCGAGCCCAGTGCCCGGGCTTCGGCAGCTGAAACTCGCCAAGTCCTTCCTATGGAAAACTAATGGAAGCACACAGGGAAAAGGCGGGAGCTGGAAAACTGGGCTCAGTCGGCGCTCAGCTGAACCAGCACGGCTCTGACCCGGCAGCACTGGGGCCGTTGCCTTTGCAAATGGGGCAGGACCAGTTGCTGCCCAGTTCCCGGTGGAGGGCAGCTCACCGGTGCAGCACAGGCCAGGCTTGCCAGCATCAGCGCTCTGGCATGGAGCACAGTTTTTGGGGTAACTCCCAGCACCCCATGGCATCCGTAGGGCAGAGCATTGCCCCCCAGGCTGCCCGCAGCTCTCGGCCAGGCAGCACTGCCTGAGGTTTGGCATCGCGGGGAGGAGGCTGGAGGTTACCCTGGCTGCATCCAGCACTCCAAAACTCATCCACATCATCAGCAAAGACTTGCGTCTTTTCTAACACACTGGGGCGATTTAAGGCTTTTTTCGTGAAGCATGCCGGGCCCATCCTGCTCTGCGCAAAGCCCCGGTGCCTCCCTCTCCCTGTCCTCCCCCCAAGCCATCTTTTGTTATTCAGTAACGTTATCCCCCCTTCCCCATTTTTCCCCTTCCCCTGCATTTTTTTCCCTTTAGCGGAAATTGTAATCAGTGGAAGATAAATACAGGGAAGGCGAAGGTGGCCGGGGGGATGGCTCAGGAGTCCACTCTGACCTCAGGGTTGAACAATCAAGCCGATACCTCCAGCCACGCCCCAAACGAACCCCCAAATTATAACTGACAAAGGCAAAGGTTCGGCTTTCTCTCTCCCTGAGCATTGCTTTGGGGCAAAAGACAGATGGCGTTGAGCTGGTTTTTAACTTTGTGCAATTACAAACTCCGATTCCTGGAAGCCCATCAGGGTGGGGAACCAGTTTCCGATTCCTTCATCAAGGTGTCAGTGAATCCGGGTAAATCCGATTCCCACGTATGGGTGGCAGCGAGATGGCAGGGGGTCTTCAGGAGACCCAACCCATCCCCTTCCCCGTTCCTTCTCCAATGCCGCAGAGCCCGCAGCGATGCTCATTTTTGGAAACCTGATTTGGGGTTATTAAAGCATCTATGGTAGAAGTGATCCGGCCCGACTTTGCACACTGTAAACCTGTCAGACGCACGCCGCCAGCAATTAGGGTGGCATTTATCTGGTCCCACAAGCCTGCAGTGCCTGAGCTAATGGGGAAAAGATGTTGATCCATTACCAAGGCTCATCCTTGAGCGGAGCAGAGGACGCAGGCAGGCTCCTGGGTGTGGAGCTGCTTCCCTGCAGTATGGAGATGGGGTGGGAAATGGCAGGGGGGAACAAACATAGCAGAGAATTGAGCTGGAAAGCAAAGGTTTCTGTGGGGGATTGGGGAGCTCTGAGCCACACCAGGGTGCAGTGTGTTTTAGGGGAGGTGTGAGTAGGTGGGGAAGGGGTTTTGGCCACCAGCATCCTCTGAGAAGCTCCCTGGCACCTCCCATGAGGTTTTGTGGCGCAGGAGAAGGTCCCTTCATTAAAACCAGCAATAGGGGCTGAACAAAATGCCCCGACCCAGGCACGGCCCAGGGCTTGCAGCTCTCCAGCCACCCAGGAACCACCAGCACCTGGACACATCCTGACCCAACACTGGTCTTAAATCTCCATCCCCGCACGCCTGCCAGACCCATACAGGAATCGCTTGGCACAGCCCGGCTCCCGCAGCCATTTAGCTCTTGCCTCCATGGGCTTGGGGAGATAGAAACCAGCCAGGAATGGGGCCAGATCCTACAGAGCTGGTTTGAGAGTTAATTTAAGAAACCTTTCCTCCTCCTCCTTGCTTTCAGCCAAATTAGAATGGGTGAGAGAAGCCTTCACTTACGGAAAAGTCCTACAGCCAGATTTTAAATTGGGGACAAAACCAAAGGGGGTTTATAAATTTTATTTATACATTTACTAGGGTTCTGTTGAAATCATTGCCGGTTTGGTGGGGGGCAGTGGGTGCCCTTGGTGACGGCACTTTTTGAACCAGGCCCTGGTCTATAATTTCCCCAGAAGCCCTACGGGTTGGCCATAAACCCACAAGGAAATGTCTCTCACCCTGTTACATCCTGTAGCTCCTTCCCAGCCTGATGGTTCCCGTTTCAGTCCCAGGCTCCTGGAAAACTCAGGGACAACCATGGCTGGACTTCATGTATTTTAATCCAGCGGCTCGTTAGCTCGCTGAAGGAAAACAGGACCAAAAAAGGAGTTTAACTAAAAGGGGCAACTGGAAAGCAGAGACTGGCAGAACATTTGAAGCTGCAGGGACAAGGGCTGGAGGGAATCTGGAGAATTTTATTTGTGAGCCTTTAAACACGAACAGCGGTGAGGGGCAGCCTGCGGTTTCCTGGCCGGGGAAAGGGCCTCAAACCCGCATGTATTTCAGGCATGGCACCATCCATCATGCCTTTATGCAGCCAAGGCCATGTCCCAAACATAAGAGCATGGGCTGTTTCCAACCCAAGGGATGGTCAACCAAGGTCCAAATGCACCCAGGGCACAACAAAAGACCCAGAGAAATGCAGGCAGCTGCAGCGAGCCCCTGGGAGGTGGACGGAGCTTCTTTTCCTCCTCTTCCCATCCAGGGATGCTCTCCTTTCCTCATGGTCCCAGCAGTTTGGCCCTATCATGGTCCAAATGATGCAGCATCCCTGCATGTACCTGGGAGATGGGGCACAGGGCTGCTGGTGGTGCTCAGGTCCTGCCTCTGCATCTCCTCCCAGCCCAACACTTCATCCTTCATGGAGGCACCCAGCACTCCCAGGCCCTGGCACTGGTCCTCACCCTAGCAAAGCACCAGAGAAGCTGTCTGCTCTTTCCAGGAGGCCACTGTCTGCAATGGAAATAAATTTAACCCTTCTTCCTCTGCCACATCCCCTGGCGTGGCTTGCATTTGGCACCGGGATGCTGTTGGTAGCATCAGCCAGCAGCATGGTTTTCAGAGGACAGTGCAAAAAAACCTGCAGTAGCTCTAAGTTTGGACCCTGCTTTGGGCAGAAGGTGGTTAGTCCCAGGGACAACCTCCCGGCAGATACTGAGGTTCCTCTGGTCCTCATGGCTCATCTCAGGATGGGACAGCCCTTGAGAGTGGTATACTTGGGCACAAAGGGACCTTAGGGACTTGATTGCACTTGTTGGTGGAGGTTTCATGGCTTGAATTATTCAGAATTAAGGTCCAGGAAGGTTTTTCTGGCCTTAAAGATCTTGGTAGTTCCCTCCTGCTCAACAGCTTGGTGGTGTCTTGAAGCAAGAGAGTTGATATCCCTTCCAGTAGATTTTGTTACTTGCTCAAGTATCATCTAAGAATGCTGCACATCTATTTAACAAGTATCAAGATAGCTTATTAGCAAGTATTTATTTCTTGAGCGCATTCAGGGAGCAGTAATTCCTGCCATCATGGCCTCTGCAATGATATACAGCAGAAAAGCCCAATATAACCCTGCTATGAATCAGAATGTCATAAAACTATTAACATTTAAAATAATTCCAAAATACTTTCCCACCAGTAGGTACAGATTGGATCCAGATGCTTTATTAACAGAAAGAATAATTAACCAGTACCTCCACAAGGAAGAACGACAGCGAGACGTGTTCCCCTTTGCAGGCAGCTGACGGGGTATCTCAGAAAAAGACTTCATAAGCTTGCCTAAACCTGATGATATTGGCGACAAAGAGGAGATGAATCTCAGCCTGGCTGAAAGCCCACGATCGATACTGAGAAGCCAAACTACACCCTCAGCTTCATGTTTCCATGAGCCAGCAAAGCCAGAAATAAACACTGCGGAGGCTGAGCTCTGTGAGACGTGGTGGCGTTTGTTCCTAGCTCTGAAGAACAGGGTTGGATGAGCAGATGCTCGGCTGCAGTCCTGTGTCACCTTGGGGACATGGCACAGCCAGGGCTTGAGGGGGTGCTGGAGGTGGGAGCCGAGATTCACATCTCAGAGATGTTTTGGTGCTGAATTTCTATTGCCGTCCATGAAAGCTTGCCCTAAAACCTTAGCTAGAGCTAAGCCCAAGACACCCTGCGGACGTGTCCTTGTTGGGGGGATGGGGGCTGTGAGATGCAGTCTCAGCAGTTTGGGTCAAGTGCTGCCCCAGAATCCACCGAGACTGGTGTTCAAAATCAGGTCCGGGTGGTTTTAACTGGACGTGAAACCACCACAGGTCTTTGCAAATGTCGGGTTTAACACTAAGCCCTAGTAGGTCCTGAAATAGGTTTTGATTCTCATGGACACCACAGGGTTGCACACATGCTGCTCCCCATGGAGTCCCAGGTGCCTGCAGGGAGCGCGGCTGGTACGGAGCAAGGCAGTGCAGACCCCCAGAAGGACTCGAGCCCGCCCGGCTCTGCATGTGGGGTCTGTGGGGTCTCACAGGGGTCCGGCTCTCATGTGGTCTCTTCTGTGCTTTCCCCACAGGCGAGAGCCTGAGCCCAAGCCGTGGGGCGGCCAAGAGGAAGAAGAAGCAGAGGAGGAACCGCACCACCTTCAACAGCAGCCAGCTGCAGGCTCTGGAGAGGGTCTTCGAAAGGACGCACTACCCTGATGCCTTCGTGCGGGAGGAGCTGGCGAGAAGGGTCAACCTCAGTGAGGCGAGAGTCCAGGTGAGCAAAGGTTTGTGTGGGAGAAAACAACCCCCCCTGCCTTGTCCCCAGGCAGGAGCAGGGACTGTCCCCTCTCTCTCTGCACATGACCACGGTTGGTAGGATGGATGCTTGGGACATCCCTGCTTGCACCAGATCCCTGCTGACCACCTTCCCTCCCTGCGCAGGTCTGGTTTCAGAACCGGAGGGCCAAGTTTCGCCGTAACGAGAGGGCGATGCTGGCCAACAGATCAGCATCACTCCTCAAATCCTACAGCCAAGAAGCAGCCATCGAGCAGCCCATGGCACCGCGGCCCACCACGCTGACCCCGGAGTATCTCTCCTGGACCAGCACCTCCCCGTACAGGTAAGGTGCAGGTGCTGGAGGAGCTGGGGAGGAGGTGGCCATGGGACAGGCTGCCTAGGAACTGCCCCACCGCCATGGGAGTGCAGCCCTGTGCCACTGCTGAGGGCATAGGGAGTTTTACAGGGCCAAAAGGAGCTCGTCCAGCTTTGCTTTGGGAATCCGTCTCAGCCCCATCTGAGCATCCCCTGCCCACTGCTGAGTAGGCTTCCCTGCCTCCATGCATTTCAGGGTTGGAGCCAGGGGCCCCGGTCCTCGCAAGGGATTCGCTTGGCCTTGCACTGACCCTTCCCACATCTCGGCACGGGAGGTGGCATGGGTCCCTTCTTGTTCCCAGCTCTCCACGTCCAGCCATCTCGTCCAAAAGCTCAAGGCAGGGCCTCCTGGTGCATAGTTTGAGGGGGTTCCCACATGTATCCAGCCACATAAAAATGCTGAAGCCTTGACTGCTCTTGTGGGAGATGTCTAAGAGGGAACAGCCAGTCTGGCCTGGGAAGCCGGCACGACTGCGCAGGCCATGGGGATGACACCGTGGGCCATGCCTCATTCCTCCCCTGCTCCCTCCCCGCAGCACTGTGCCCTCCTACAGCTCCAGCGGGACCGCAACACCCACCCAAGGGGTCAACATGGCCAACAGCATCGCCAGCCTGCGCCTGAAAGCCAAAGAGTTCAGCCTCCATCAGAACCAGGTGCCAACTGTGAACTGACCAGGGCAAAGCCCATCCTGTGGCCTCATCCAGGATAGAGCGTGGAGCTCCTGTGCCAGTCCAGGACAAACCCACCGCCCGCCCAACCCACACGCCACTCATCCAACGTCTCAGCATCTCTCCTCTCCTCTTCTCTTCCCTTTTGAAGGTAGAGTCAGTCCCAGGCCAAAGTGGCACATAATTATAGCCACATATGGAGCAAACTTGGTTAGAAACTTGCTTTTCCGCACACCCTTATAATAAAGGCTATATATACACACACATACCCCCCACGCGCTCTTCGAGGACAAACAGACTTGCCAAGGGAACAAGAATTTGCTTCCAAACATGGAAGGATCTTGGACTATTGGATTTGACCAATTTGGGTATCTCGCCCAGAGCGCCAAAGAATTATTGGGTCTTCTCCTCCCGCAGGGACAGCATGCAGCGGTGGGAGGATCACAAGCCCCCCTTTCCACCCAGCTGTGACTTGTGGCGCTCAACCGTGCGTGCCGAAGCCACGCATTTGCCTCTTTGTGCATCCCCAGTTGCGGTGCTTGGGACAGACTTTGGGAAGCCGATGGCTTGCCCCTGCCGTGGCCAGTCCTGGCCAGCCCCCTGCACTGGCGCTGCCTGCATTTAGGAGCTGCCTATGTTGATGGCATCAGGCTTTGTCCCTTCCCAGAGGGGCGAGGAGGGCTGGAGCATTGCAACAGACTCTCTTGGAGCCTGTGAGCTCTCCCGCAAGCTGGAGGGAGCATTGCCGGTCCCCAAGCAGGCACCGCTGCCCTGCCTCGGTGGGTTTG